GAATGCCTGCTTCATTTCCTGCAAAAACATACGCATCCAAAAATAGGCAGGAGAGAGGACTAGCGTAACATATTCCTGTAGAACTGAAATAAAGATGAGGTCAACTGCATTTTTATCTTCTATGCTTGCGTTTGGCACTTCAATTAAACATGGAAACTAATGACCTCATTAGATTCTTGAAAAGTAAATGGCATTAACATTGATAGTCTCTGTCTTTCTTAATAAGCCTTTCATGAAAAATAGGCCACAATGCAAACCATGCCTCCGTTAATGACTCATGACCTGAAGATGAACTCAGACGTTAATAGAACCTATTAACAGTGTAAATGTAATAACTCAGTGGGACGATATAGTCCAGCAATTAATAAGTTCACATGAAGTTCAACAGAACGACAACAACAAAAAAAAATCAGTTTATTCACCAGTATGGTCAAGGTTCAAATGGGATTCATTTCTGAATTTCCTGTGGATTGTAAGGACCTTGAATTCTGCGTGCAAAACTAGCTATAAAGAATCTGTTCTTTCAGCTCTCACTGTGATTAAAAAGTTCTCTGTTCCTCCATCTCTGGATTATCTATCAGGTGAGATTCACCTGTAATATAAAACTCTATTATCCTGCATTGAATAAAAAACCCCTGGAAGAGGCCGTTCGCTTGAATAGCTCCTCTTCCTGTCTGGTGTTAACTGAGTAGCGTGTGGGACCAACGTATATAGAAAAGGTCAGATTTATAGGTTTATAGTATTACCATGGACAGTAATCAATGCCTAAAATTCCAGTACTGTTTAGGATATTGGGCTTGTATTTGTGCATTTCTCAAGTACTTGTACATCTGTCTGCTCTGTTGATTCACTTACGTAGCCTCACTGGGGGAAGGAGGGGAAAGGCAGTCAATATGGTGAGGTTTAACTGAGCTCACATTAAATCATATAGCTTTTATTGTCACATTATCTTTCATTTCAAAATAGGAGTAGAGCAGATGTTTCTTGACTCCTGTATTCAGTCAGTAGGTCACCGCACATTTTAACAGAGCTCCATTGTTATATCGCTTGGGTGGATGGTATGGTAATAACTACTTGGGACTGAGGAACACACTTCGTAGTCATTCTCACCCGCTGCATGAATACCCTGATTTCACTCCTGCAGAATTTTGGCTCCTCTTCTTCCTTCCAGACTACATAACTGATGAGTATTGAGGGGCCACGGCAAATGAGATCTTAGGAAAATTATGTAAGCCTCTAGAATGATTTTCCAAGTAGAAAAATGTATACTCCTTACATTTCTTTTGTGAGGTAAAGAAGTGACAAGAAAATTAAAGAAATGAGGAAAATAATGTACTTAAGAATTTGGGTCAAGGAAGGGTATTAGGATGTGGGAACCACCTTCTACAATCAGAAGAATTTGTATCCCACCTTATGGCTGAGGAAAATCTTGTTAACTGAATAGAGGCTAGGAAATGATACTAAAGGCTACTGGGAAACTGCTTACTTTAATCCTTTCTGACATGGGTAGGAAAAGCAGCCTTGGTTTGGGATGATGCAGAGTAATAATACCTCCTAGTTTTTGCTGGTGGCTATGAATATGTAATAATGCAAAATCTGAAAATAGCTGTGAGAATCGTCTCTGAGTAGTGGTTTGTACAACTTTGAGATCGTTTCAGGCATTTTCTTTAATCATCCTTTGCACGTTGCTACAGTTCCCATCTGTTGCACCTGCACTGGCTCTTAAATGATGGGAAAATGGCGTTCCCTTATCCCTCAAGGCAGGAATCCCAGTTATCTATTCTGGAAACATAAAAAAATGTGGCAAATTAGGTGAACCGGAAACCTGAAGGGGATAACTGAAACTCTCTCCTTTGACTCTCTGTAAGCTACCTTTTGCTTCAACATGTGAGATACATTGTTCACGCAGAGCATGTTTTCACAAAGATTAAGCCTGTGGTTGTCGCTCTGAAGCTCAGTCACAAATTCTCCCTTCTATTCTGTATTTATCTGATGATCTCAGCTTGCGCTGTTAAAAGTATTTCAAGGTTAACTCAAGACTGCAAAGTGTTTGATATAACTTAAAATTTTCATTAAAAAGGGCACACACAATATGGGGATGTGATTTTTAAGTACTTTTCTGTGAGCATTTTCGTAAGAATGCCTCATAGTGAGGCAAGCAAAAAATGACAACTGCTGAGTATATTGGCTTCATTTTCACAACCCAAAATAGGTGTTTAAGAAAAACATTTATTGGTGTTTAAATGAAGCTGTCTGACAATATTCTTGTATTTGAACAGTGATCCAATTAATTTGGAGTTTAATGGGTTTCATATCCTTTTATTTCTGAGTGCAATTCCCTTAAATACTTTCCGCACTTTCATTTCTCAATACAACATTCACAGATAAGATGGGGTCACTAAATCTGCTTCAGTCTGAAGTCTTTGTGGGTGATTACCAACAACGAGATCTGGTCTGCTTCAATTTTACCACTGTAGGGACTTCTGTGGAATACAGGCACCCATCACCTAGACAGCAAATGCATGCTGTCTGGAAGCAACCAATACTAAATGTACCGGGACATTTCCATGACTAATAGAAACATTTTCTCTGTGCCTGGACATAGATTCCAGTGTTTGTCCTACAACTAGAAGTTAGTTGATAATTCTTTTTATGCCTTGTAAGGTTGCCTGTTTTTTCCTTAGCCTTCTTAACTTCGCAAACTCAAGTGGAAAAGAAACTTGTCTGTGTCACTCAAGTCACAGAACAGATTCTGAAGTACCTCTGGAATGTAATACAGTGTTATCCTTTTGAAGTCACATTTCAAAGTAAAATCAGTTTTAAAACCTTTCCATTTACGTGTAAAGCAATAATCTTCCTTTTTAGAAGCTAGCAGAAGCTCTAAAATTTCCAGTAAAGTGATCCTGGAAAAATACTTGACCTTCATATTTCTTTCCTTTAACTTTTCTTCTGGGAATATAGTATGCTCTAATGAACATGGAAAAAGGCAACTGTCAAAGGATGCCAGCAGCAGCTAAAGCTTTGCAGCA